CATAACGGTGACATATCGTATAACGTATGCTATAGTACCATAGCGGTAACATATTGTATAACGTATGTTACAGTATCATAACGGTGACATATCGTATAACGTATGCTATAGTACCATAGCGGTAACATATTGTATAACGTATGTTACAGTATCATAACGGTGGCATATCGTATAACGTATGCTATAGTACCATAGCGGTAACATATTGTATAACGTATGTTACAGTATCATAACGGTGACATATCGTATAACGTATGCTATAGTACCATAGCGGTAACATATTGTATAACGTATGTTACAGTATCATAAAGTTATACAATATCTCACCAGTATGTTACAGTATTTAATGACATACTGTATTACGTATGTTACAGTATCATAACAGTATAGTGAAATTGCATTTCGATGTTAGAATCGAACCATGCAATTTTTTCATGATGAAACTTTTGCTTTTGGAAATAGATGTTGGTCAAAATGTAGCTTGAAAATATAATCTGCTTTATCGCATTTTACAAATTTAGAAGTGCTGTGCTAAAACAAAGCTAAATGTTTTGAAAATTGTTCAAAGGTAAGTTTATGTTGCCAGCATTTAACTTACTTTGGTAAACTTACTATTAGTCTAGAAGTGTACCATAAATATAACTATATAGGGTTTCATTTCAAAACCTACTAACAAAACATGAGAAGTATAATTATATTCAAACCCTTGGAATTAAGGTTGTATATTGTGAGTGTATACGTAACTTTTAGCATAGTCGGCAATATTATACTGTTCTGAGCAACGTACATTTTTGTGAAGATATAATAAAAATTGTGTTTTTTCATTAATGTTTATGCATTTTCATAAGCCTCATGTATGAACACTGTAATGCAGGAATTCACAGTTCATGGCTCAGTAAATGTACCTGACATTGTATTTCAGTTTGTTTCCCCCTTGGAATAAGTTAATAAAAATAATAACTTTGAATTATATAACAAAAATTCAACCCAAACGTTTATGCTGAATTAATGAATGGTTTGACTTCAAAGAGTTTATTTCAAAAGAAATGATGAAATACATCAGGATACATCTGGTTAGGCAGTTCAACTTCTAGGCATAACTACTAGCTATAATTGGAGGAACACGTTACGTAAGAACAAAATTCGACATATAGTAAAGAAGCAGATATGTAGTGCTCTAAAATATTATAGGATTACACATTTTCAAACTATTACAGATTAAAATTAAAGTGTTATCATTCTCAATAATGTGCAAACATAGTTATAGACACTTATTTACACGCCTAAGATGAATAAGTTGTTTTGTTTCGTGTTAATAACATACTAGCCATTCTTTCTTTGTGCATTAATAGAATATTGCACTGCCTAGACCATGTCGTACATAAACATGGGTCTCATTCTATTAAAATGAATACTAAATTCTGTAATCACGCTCTGCCAATCAGGTTTACATAAACATTCATAACACAAGACCAGACAGGTGAAAAATTAACATAAATTGGAAGTTCACCAGATAAACTGAAGAAATAAAATAACATAATACATTATGAAATAACCAAAAGTTTCAAATGTCAATCTAAACAGTATGTGCAGCTGGTTTAGTTGTCATTACTATAACCTCAAAGATACATGTACCAACGTAAAAGATGCATCTGTTGCCATGCCTAACCAGATTAATTAAAGAAGACATTTGTTTTCAAAACTTAAAATGATTCCACTTTGCGACGGAATGTTTATTTATGTAACAAGACGTTTTTATAGACTCAATAAGTGATGTACTGCTTAATAAACCGATAACCTTCTGATTATGTTAGCTCAAGTTACAGTAGTTATTGTAAGAACAAAGAGTGAAGGATCTAGTGAATAATGAAATAAGTTTTGTGTGCTTGTTTCAGAAAGTTCACGCGCATAACATTTACTAAGTTTGAATTAATAGACTTAGAAAGAAGGTACCTAGTCATCAGAATCCATCGCCAACCACTCTACTGCTCGCCCCCAGTGGCACAGCGGTATGTCTGCGAACTTGCAACGCTAGAATCCGGGTTTCAATACCCGTGGTGGGCAGAACACAGATAGCCCATTTTGTAGCTTTGTGCTTACTTACAAAACAAACAAACAAACTCAACTGCTCTTGTCTGGCTGAATACTGTGATTAAAATGTTACTTTTATAGTGCACCCATAGTCCCAAAGTGCGGGGTGCATTTTTGCGGCAACGTTTTTGCAGATTCACAATCCGTGCTAGCTAGCAATATTAACTGATTTTGGAAATTTATAACTAGAAGCAGATTGTCGAAGTTTAAAAGTTCTTCGATTACCATAGGGTTAGAACCACAACCACTTTGGGAGTGAATATACAGGTTTAAATAAAGTGCGTAATCCTATAGCTTTACAATAAAAATAACCAAATTTCACGAATGTGTTTTTATGATTAATAAACATATTGTTTATGAAACTAAAAGTAAACATGTTATTGGGTATACACATGTCTAAAATAAAAATCAAAATAGCCCCCCCCCCTCAGTGGTACAGCGGTATGTCTGCGGACTTACAACGCTAGAAACCGGGTTTCGATACCCATAGTGGGCAGAACACAGATAGCCCATTGTGTAGCTTTGTGCATAACTTTAATCAAACAGTCAAACAAAAAATAGTACTAAAATAAACTTCTTTGAAACGCTGTTTTGAAACAGAAAATCAACATTATTTCCATAGACATTGCCAGTAAAGTTTGTTTGTATGAAGTTAAGCACAAAGCTACACAAAGGGCTATCTATGCTCTACCCACCACGGGTATTGAAACCCGGTTTCTAGCATCGGGAAAGTAACAAAATTTCTACACAGTTGAACCTTCACCACGAACTAGTACAGTCGCATTTACGTGTATATTTGGGAAGTTTTCTAATTAAGCGTTGGTAAGGAAGTATATTATAAGGTGGTAAGTCTAAGCAATGCAAAACTATCACGTTGGAAATGCTAATTAGATCAAAATAAAGTTTATTTAAACAATGACACACTTGGCTACTGTAATAACCCAAAATCAGTTTTTTATGTATACAGTTGGAAAAAAGTTAAGCACCCCCGTGTTTTTTTCAAGTGATTCAGATTCGACGTTCTTGTGACTGATTATAAATTGCCATTCAATATAAACGTGTTTATCAAATGAAACTATGCATTATTGGGCACAAGAAAACAAGATTATCACCGTAAAATAACAATTTTTAATTTAGATATCATGACATCAAAATATGGACAGTTTTCACGCTTAAAATTATCTTTAATAAGTATTGTAAGTGAAAGCTCAAAAACGTTATTGAATTGTCAAATCACATTACAAAATGTCAAT